TAACCTACACATAACATAACACAAGACCTTGACCTTAACTCTAACCTACATATAACATACCACAGGACCTTGACTCTAACTCTTACCTTCACATAACATAACACAGAACCTTGGTCATAACTCTAACCTTCACATAACAAAACACAGTACCTTGACCCTAACTCTGACCTACACATAACAAAACACAGTATCTTGACCCTAACTCTAATCTACACATAACATAACACAGGACCTTGGCCCTAACTCTAACATTCACATAACACAGGACCTTGACCTAAACTCTAACCTATACATAACATAACAAAGGACCTTGGTCCTAACCCTAACGTTTACATAACAAAGCATAGTACCTTTGCCCTAACTCTAAACTACACATAACATAACAGGACCATGACTCTAACTCTAACCTACACATAACACAGGACCTTGACCTTAACTCTAACCTATACATAAAAAACACAGGACCTTGGCCCTATCTCTAAACTACACATAACACAGGACCTTGACCTTAACTCTAACCTATACATAACATAACAAAGGACCTTGGTCCTAACCCTAACGTTCACATAGCAAAGGATAGTACCTTTGCCCTAACCCTAACCTTCACATAACAAAACACAGTACCTTGACCCTAACTCTGACCTACACATAACAAAACACAGTATCTTGACCCTAACTCTAATCTACACATAACATAACACAGGACCTTGGCCCTAACTCTAACATTCACATAACACAGGACCTTGACCTAAACTCTAACCTATACATAACATAACAAAGGACCTTGGTCCTAACCCTAACGTTTACATAACAAAGCATAGTACCTTTGCCCTAACTCTAAACTACACATAACATAACAGGACCATGACTCTAACTCTAACCTACACATAACACAGGACCTTGACCTTAACTCTAACCTATACATAAAAAACACAGGACCTTGGCCCTATCTCTAAACTACACATAACACAGGACCTTGACCTTAACTCTAACCTATACATAACATAACAAAGGACCATGGTCCTAACCCTAACGTTTACATAACAAAGCATAGTACCTTTGCCCTAACTCTAAACTACACATAACATAACACAGGACCTTGACCATAACCCTAACCTACACATAACATAACACAGGACTTTTACCTAACTCTAACCTACACATAACATAACTCAGAACCTTGGTCCTTACTCTAACTTTGACATTACATTACACATGACCTTGACCCTAACCCTAACCTAGAGGTTTGATCGACCTCTAACCGCTACGTAAGAAAGGAACGTTTTACTAGACAATGATGATTGATTGTATATATTATTTAACGTCCCTCTCGAGAATTTTCCACTCATACGGAGACGCCGCCACTTGCCGGGGGAGAGCTGCAAATTTTGTTCTATACTCGGCACTTAGGGCCATTGAGCAGGGAGGGATCTTTTTTCGTGCCTGAACCTACTGCGACAGGGGACCTGGCTTTATACGGTCTCATCCAAAGGACAGGTCTCCACGTCCCACAGTGGGATTCGAACCCTTCGCGACTCAATAGCAGACGCTCTAGATAACCATTGCGCCACGCGCGACCTAGACAATGATGAAATCTGATTCAAAATAAGCAGATAAATTTTGTTTTTATTCAAAATAAATTTATTTTGTCATATCATCTTGTCTAATCAAGTTTTGTACTTTAATTAATTTATTTATTTATTTATTGGAATTTCACAGTTGGGATCGTTACCTAGGAGTAGATAATTTCCCAATAGACTATTTACATTCGCAGTAAGTCCTATGCATTGATCAGATAGTTACCAAAGTCATAATAACGGCCAAAAAATCAAAATGTGAAATGTTTTATAGATATGAAATTTAAATAAATATACGTATTTATTTTTGTCCTGTTTTCAGCTTTGTATTTTATTTCCTGTAAGATATACTACCGCTCGTTTTCTTCGCCCTTTTCATTCTTTACACTGTATATAACTTGCTTAAAATATATTGTTTCCATAGAAATCACGCGAATCTCTATCTTATAGCACAATTAAGCTTTAAATTAAAACGGGTATTGCACGTATGATTTTCTTGTCAACCATTCGTCAAATAAACATCAAAATATCATATAGAAGATGCTTGAGTTTCTGATTGACAATATCTATGTCCTTTTTGGAGACCAGGTCTTCCTACCATCTATTGGAATTCCCATGCCCTGTACCAAATTAAATGCTCTCCATTATTAGCAGACCTATATTTGTATTCAAATAAAGCAGAATTTGTGCAAAATCTTATGCGTGAAAAGAAGAAAACACTTGCTGTGGCCTTCAACTCAACATTTAGATATATCGACGACGTATTGTCAATTAACAATGGTAATTTCCATTCTTATGTCGATAGGATATATCCTGGAAAGCTTGAGATAAAAGATACCAAAGAGTCTAAAAAATCTGTTTCATATTTGGATATTTTACAATGTACTTGAAAAAGACGTTAATGGTAATCTAACAACCCAAGCTCTATGATAATCGTGATGACTTTAATTTACAATCGTCAACTTCCCTTACTTATGCAGTTAAATGCATGTACTTTCATCATCTTCATGTGGAGTTTATATATCTCAGTTGATTCGATATGCAAGAACATGCTCTATGAGCGATTTCTAAATTAATTATTGACAAATATTTTGATGAAACAAGAATATCAGCAGTCTTATTTAAGGGGTTACGACCCTCTGATAAGATAACTTTCAAATTACAAAATATGAAAACTACTCACAGTTTTCTTAATAATAGTTTCCTAAGTGAGACCTTTGAGTAGTCAATTCGATAAAATCTAACATAAGATCGAAACATTACTTTCTATTTCTTTTGCCAATTTCTTTTTAACTGTTTGATTATATTCAACAATAAAACACTAATAACCAATTTCAAAAGCCTTATCAATTGAATTCTAGTTGTATCTTTTTAAGGACCATTTAAAAATGGTTTAATGTTTCAAGTACTTAATATAGAATTTTCATTTATATGACATTTTTTCACATGAAAAAATATTAGAAGAAACTCCTCCTCACAGATGTACTTTTTCTGGCAACCACATAAAACATTTTGATTTTCTGACTTAGGAAGCATCGCTTCATGGTGTTTTCTAACATGATTTTAATAGGTATGATACTAAGTATTATTTTCATATACACCTCACATTTAAAACTTAATGTTATGATAATAAATTGTCACTATTTCTATTCTCTATGTTGAAATTACTTTTTGATATAAAAATCATTACTTTAAAAAAAAATCTGCGCTTCATACTTCAAACTATTTTCCATGTGGCTCTAATGTTGATGTTCATGAAAACCAATATCAGAAATTTTAAATTTTAAATCGTGAAATTTATAGCAGATGGTCGAGATTAAAGTCATCATTTCGTAATTTCTTGGTCGATACAATGACCTTTTCAGCAAATACAATTTATCATGGAGTTAAATGTTGACTGGCGCTTTTCATACTAATTGTTCATCCATTATTTATTTATACACTGAATTGACGACGGATTTTTTCCGTTATTTCCCGATCATGACAAGGAACACACGGCGGGTGTGACCGGTCGGCAGGTGCTTACTACAACATGGCACCTGATCACACCTCTGATGCTTTAGAGGTCCGTATTTGCTCTGCTCCTATTTTTTATTGTTTTATGAACTTTTGATCCTGACTACTGTTTGTTATCTCCATATGTTTCATCAAGCAGCTCTAATATTTTGTGTGTGTACAAAATAAAGCGAACAAACAAACCCCTTACAAATATTTCCTCTCACATCTTTACCTTAAAGTATACTTCAAAGCAAAAATTATAGATAAAGATATTTTTTTCTTATTTGCTACCGTATAAGCAGAGTACTAGAACTTTTAGCGAGGATTTCATTCTGGCATTATTAGCGAAAGTGCTGAGATTACTAAAATTGAATATCGCTAAAAATTAATTGTGTTTTACTTGTAATAACTTCTTAAGTGAGCATTTTAATATCATTTAAATTATATTTAGCTATAAAATAATACCTATTTTTAAGGACAAATCGCTAATTTTTCTTCTCCGTAAAGAACTCCACTTATACTTATTACAATGCAATAAACTAATCCATCATGACCATTACACATCCATGTACTGGAGATCAATTTATTGTTATTCTTCTAATGCTATGATTGAAAAGACCTATTATTGAATGATACATAAAAGATAAGTAAAGACTGGTGCAGAGTATCATATCAACGGCAAATATAAAGCATGATGTTTTTTTCACAAGAAAAAGTCCAGTGGTCCGTTTTACAAAAGAACTTCTGACTAAGATCAAACCTTTATTCTGATTTAACTTTTTAATTTATGATAAATTTGGTATGGTTTTTATATTTTTCATAGGAATATACAGTTTGTATAGATATTTTTAAGATAGGAATTTAAAAAAATTAATTAATTTTGCACTTTTTAACAAACTTTAGCATCCACGACATTAATATTGCACATCTGCAACACTTTCATAACATTGTTACACTAACCCAGGAACAGATCTTACGGATTGGGGCTCAAAATCACTGGAAATTTCATCAAATAAATTCTAAATAAATCTTCAAATATTTTTTTTACTGATATGAACCAACTTTTGAGCAAAAGTTCATTTGGTAACTGTTTACATTAAGATTTTTGCCCCCCCCCCCCCAATCTTATTTTGGCCTTACTCACTTATAGCAAATTTAAAATGGAGTGAATGCAAAGAATTCAGTACTGAATAATATATTCAACAGATCTGTGGATTGGCAAATTTTAAACTGGGGACATTGTATACAAGTATGCAAGGGCAGAGAAAATTTCACTCTGTGATTTATCTGACAAAAAGTCAAGTAATAGTTTTATCCCAAACATTGCCTAAATGTAAAGATAAAAGAAAATAACAATGCTATGATGTTAACAGATCATGAGAAATGAACGATAAATAACAAAAAGCAATTTGAAAAAAGACACAATTTCCATCATAAGCCCTTTATTGCATTTGATACAATAAACAAAGAACTTTGGTTTCACCTTCATCATCGAGAACTAATTTTTAAAAGTGGAATAATGATCCATCGGATAGAGGAACAAAAGCTCATATAGAACAAAATAAAATAAACAAACATCAAAAAAGGAATAAAAATTAAAAGCTTAGCTTTACATACATTTTGAACAAATACCACACAAATAATGCACCATTAAAGATATCTCATACAATAACTACACGTAGCCCAGTCACGATACAAGTTGACAGTCAAGTATAAATTAAGTTTTAAATATCAATGGAAATTTCCATTCTGGTAACAAAAATATCAAATTAAAACTTTAATTCCAAGTTATGTTAATTTGTTTAGACTTTCTAACTTAATTTCACTTGTGTGAAATCGTAACATTTGGCATGTCTAACTGCAATTTATAATGATAAAGATTAAGAAGAATAAATCAAGCAAATTAACATTATATAAAGCTATTAACAGATTATAGATTGAAACAGGGAGATCATCCTAGCAAGGGAAAAGCTTCAACTATACATAATAATATATTGGGAATTATGCAAGAAATAAACTGTCAGCTTTAGACAAGGATTTGAGGTCAGGCACTTCTACTGTCTATGAAAGCCTTTACACCGCAGCGTAGGCCTGGAACAGAAGCATGGATTCCGAGGACACATCTATCGTAACCTCCTGATTGACCGACGTGAAGAAGATCTCGCCCCGATTGACAGGAAGTGATGACTCCAGTGTTGCGTTGTTTGCGATTCCGTTTCCCTGAATCACGATGGTAATGCTAGGGCTGGGTAAAGCGGCGAGCTTTAGAGACGTACAACCAGGGCTGGTCTAAATAAAAATGTCACAAGTCTGTTTACAGCAATAAAAAGTTACATTTAATATATTCTAGTAAGACTTCAAAAACTGTGAAATCACAAATTTCTGTGGGGGTTCAATTTTCATTGATTTCAAGGTATGATGAGTCCAATGCATTCATGTCCACGATGACATGTGAAATTTTATGTTACAACATAACTACTCAACAATTCTTCATCCTCAAAATCAAATCCAAATGAAACCCAGTTTTTTCTCAAACCACAAAAATTTGACAAATATTTGATTTTAAATTTCATGTTCAATCACAAGAAGTGAAAATAAATTGCAGGTAAGATTATTGGGCATCTTAGAGAAATATTTTATTCAGTACTAGTGGGAACATTGACATAATAGCCAGAATCTAAGCAAGAAAATCATTTTGTACAGTCATTCTCATACACATTTCCAGAGAAAATAGTAAAGTGAAGGTTCATGTATACTTAACATTTTAATTTCTTGGATTTTATATTACCGAGTCTCTTTGTAAACCAGAAGTCTCTGTCGAGACTGAAGCTCTACTGGTTTGTACTTATAGCAAAGGAAGAGAAAAGTACTTAAGCAGTTGGAAATTGAAACTTTTCAACAGCAATAAATAGAATAATGATCCTTGATTAAGTCTCTTTATGTTCTTAGTGCAGTCTACTTGCATGCCACATTTATATTATAATCAGACTAATATTGTATTTGGAGTAGCATTTTGAAAGAATTTCACAAAATGTCTATTTTTAGTAACCACGGCAACACCGTTCATCGAAATCAAAAACCGATATACAGAATTATGTATCTTATTGTAGTCTACTTGTGTGCCAAGTTATATTAAAATCAGACTAAAACTGTAGAAGGAGTATCATTTTGAAAGAATTTCACAGAAATTTCTATTTTTAGTAACCACAGCAACACCGTTCATCGAAATCAAAAACTGATACACAGAATTATGTATCTTATTATAGTCTACTTGTGTGCCAAGTTATATTGAAATCAGACTAAAACTGTAGAAGGAGTAGCATTTTGAAAGAATTTCACAGAAATTTCTATTTTTAGTAACCACGGCAACACCGTTCATCAAATTCAAAAAACGATACACAGAATTATGTATCTTAGTGTAGTCTACTTGTGTGCCAAGTTATATTGAAATCAGACCAAAACTGTAGGAGGAGTAGCATTTTGAAAAATTGTTTACAGACGGACAGACAGCTAGACAGACAGATGAACGGACGACGGACGCATTACTATCGCATATGCTCTTCTGGTCTCTGACCAGTAGAGCTAAAAACTGCAGTAATTCACAACAAACCTGGAATTTCTTGACAGCGAAGTCTCTGATTGCCGGACTGAAGGTCGTTATTGTGACTTTATCCTCCGTGACGGATTTTCCTGTGAACTTGGTTTTACTTGCTGGTTTACCCGTGTAGTCTAACATTTCACACAGCGTATGAACATCTCGGAATTTAGGGGTCAGTCCTGCTCGCACCACATTGTCTGAACAAGCCATACACTCCATCGTATCTGTAAAACAAAAATCATTAAAATATTGAAGAAGTTTTCGTGTATGATTCAAAAAATCTCAAAACAATGTCAATTAAAATGTTATTAGTTATCTCGAGGTAAATATTGAAAACAGAATCTTATGAGAAATAAATACAGTCATGTTAAGAAAAAAAAGATCTGTTCTTCAAAAACACATGATAGCATTTAAGTCAAGTTTTATCTACCTAACCAAATTTTGTTTTCTTTATCTTTAAAAAGGATAAGCAGTTGTCTCCTCTTCAAAAATTGAATATTATCTCATTAAGAACTAAGCTTACGAGGGGGACAAAAATTTATACTTACCCCCGAAGATAAGCATGAGGTAGATTTATACCTACCCCATGAAAGATATGAGTGAGGTACATTTATATCTATATGTCTAATACCCTGAGAGATATCTCTGGGGTAATATTTATTTCCTCCTGATTTACGTACCCCGTGAGAGATGAGCGTGAGGTAGATTTTTACCTGGGTGGGGTAGTATTGACTTACCCCCTGATTGACTTACCCCCAGAGAGATAAGCGTGAGGTAGATTGGCTTCTAAGAACATGCTTTCTCCCGGCTGGAGTGTTATCACGTTAAGGAAGTACACAGTAAAACAGCCCACATCTCCAGGGAACTCCTTGTATAACTTATAGAGAACCTCACTCTCAAACACACTGGTGTCAGTCCCAGCATTGTCTACAACAAATAAAACAATACAGTTAAACAGTCGAATCTCCAAAGTACAGATAAAACATCAAAGTGTAACGGCTCACATCTCACTCTTTAACTGTGTGATTGTGTGTCACTCTCACCTAGATTCTGTAATCTATTGATGAGAAGTTTGAGCTCTGATTGGACGCTCTCTGGGTCCCGTTTCATCAGCGCCGTGAAGCAGTCTTTCATGGCCTCCCTCTGGAGGGGCATGTCGGGGGTCTTACTCGCCGAGATCAGTTTACAGGCCTTGGGTCCACCCACCACGGCTCGTAACTCCTCAATCTCTGCTCATAGGAAACATGCATAATATCAACAAATTGTGATAAATAAAGAACAAAGTTAAAATCTCAATAATAATATCACCTTACAAAGAACCATACTAAACATCGATCAGTTTTAATCTGTTTGATTTTAAATGAATTAATAAAAATGAATACATTCCTTTTGTATCTTGTTTCATGTTTTACATTACATTTTACCTGTGCCCCTACATATTGTTCGAATCTAGTCTAAGATTGTTTTAAATGCTTTAGCTAATGAACTATTAATAAACAGTTATCTCTGACTAGATTGTAGCTCTAGAGATGTGTACTTTGTGCACCAGTGTACCAAAGCATGACATAACAACCACCATATGATGTTATTCAAAAAGCAGTGCTTAAAAATGACTGTTTGAACAACAGAATGATGTTTTTTTTTTTTATCTCTCTACGTACTTGACAGGAAATCAGCAACTTCCTGAATGGGACGGAATCCACACAAGGCTTTGAATGGCGTCAGGGCGATGGCCAGTTCAGGTTTGTGATTGTCATCCTTGTAAATGTCAGGAAAGGTTTTATGAAGCTTCTCTGCCTGAACCTGCAATTATTCACATGACATACACTTACATTTTTGGTATTAACAATACCTCACAGAATAAAAGACTATGTTACAATTTAATTTTGTATATTTAACCACTTTTTAAAAATCAAAATGTAAATTACTTCAGTGTAAGAATTTTCACTTATGAGATAAAATTCACCTGAAGGAATAAAACTAACTTTAACACAGATTATCCTCTTTCTACAAACCTTGTTTGGGTGAGCTTGAACAGACAGTGATTTGTTGACACTCAGAACCTTGAACAAGAATGGTAGGTCATCCCCAAACTTTTTCCTGACTGCCTCTCCCAGCTGCTCGGGATGCTGGGTAATCCAGTCTTTCAGGGAGAGGTTGCTTCCCTTGGGTGTTTTTACCTTTGATGGGCAGTTGACATGTGTTCCCATCCATAACTGAAGAAAAAAGGATGACTCTTAAATTTTTTATCTGTATTGTTTTAACATACTTCTAAAGAAAGAACTGACATTGGTCTTAATGTCATGATACATCTGAGACATAGAAGAGGGTAACTCACTCCAGTACCAATCATTTGTAAGAAAGTAACTTAAGAATAAAGCTAAGTGATTATTTAAAAAATAATTGCTGACTTTTTCATTTCAAAGGAGCAAGCATTATTTTTCACGGATGAAAAAAATGGTATCCACAATGGTTTTGATGACATTATATCCAACCCAATTATTGACTTATGAGATGGTCATAATGGTTTAAACATAACATGTTTAATACTCATATAATTTCTTTTTTATACATATACAGCTTGTATTTCTTCAATGGAGCCAAACAATTACATATTGTCATGATTCTTAATGTCATTTGAACAAGATAAATTAGTTCAATGAAAGAAGCTTAGTAAAATCTGTATAACCTCAGCGTAGGGAGTATCATCATCTATCTGGAAGGATGGATCAGCGGCTTTCTGAAGTGAGGCCACTTCACTCTCACTGCCAAGTTTACCCCAGGCATAGTTCTGTACAGAACACTTCAGAGGAAACACTGTAAAACATAAAGAATTAAATACTGCATGAGAGTCGAACCCAAAGGTTTAACTGGTAATCGCTATCAAAATTTATGAACATAAGCAATCAAGCCTATCTTACAAAGAGCAATCAGAACAACTTTACTTTATCGGTCCCCAGACAAACATACTTAAATATAATGTCACGTAGCTGACTTCCATATATATGAGATCCTGTGAATGATCAATTGATGGGGACCAATCCACATAATAAACACAGAAGAAAGACATACTATTGTCTGTGACTGTGAACACGAACCTATATCAGTATATAGGTCACTGTTGTGTGACCACAGGGGCTTGTCACGAAATATTTATCTTCTTTTAATAAGTTACCCCTACTATAAAAATACACAAGGGAGGAATCTAAAAATAAGAAATTCGCTACCACAAATTTTGACCGGACTTTCTATCTTGTTTCTGGGCGACTTTCGTTGCGGACCAAGTAGGAGTGAGTGGAGTATAGATTCAATTTTAATATTCTTCAGTCAAATTCTAATCAACCTGTACCGTTAGTCATATAACTAACCTCTTTTCTCGATATTTGGATCTGGCGACAGTTCTTTCCATATGCGTCAATTGAAAGCAGCGCTCTGATTGGTTGCTTTCTGTAGATAACTCGTACACAAAATATAAACTGTAAGGATTGACATGCTTAGTAAAGGATATTTAACATGTTTATATAAATAAATATAACCAAATATAGTAAAATATGTACCATGAAACCACAGCTGTATTGTTAAATCCCATCACAACAGTTTGATTTCCCTCCGTTTTGGTGCACTAAATTAAAGAGCTACTTTGTGTACGAGTTATTTACAGAAAGCAACCAATCAGAGCCCTGCATTCAATTTACGCCGGAAATTCATATGGAAAGAACTGTCGCCAATTCCAAATATCGAGAAAAGAGGTTAGTTATATGACTAACGGTACAGGTTGATTAGAATTTGACTGAAGAATATTAAAATTGAATCTATACTCCACTCACTCCTACTTGGTCCGCAACGAAAGTCGCCCAGAAACAAGATAGAAAGTCCGGTCAAAATTTGTGGTAGCGAATTTCTTAATTTTAGATTCCTCCCTTGTGTATTTTTATAGTAGGGGTAACTTTACTAAAAGAAGATAAATATTTCGTGACAAGCCCCTGTGGTGTGACTGTTTCAAGTAACACAATTTACACTTCTCTCTTTAACAAATCTTATCAACCGGGATATGTGCCCCTACAATCTATTTTTTTTAACATAAAATATATTCAGTGCATATTGTAAAATAAAAACTGCAGAATAATGCATACCAAGCTCGCCTTCTGACATTCTTTCGTCGATGAGATTTTTAACTTCAGCTGGTTTGCAGTGTATTTCCGGTGTGACGAGAATTTGTCAAGTTGTTCGTGTTTTAATCTCCCGAGGAGTTCCGAGATTTTAAGCGCCAGGGAACTAAACAACACTACACACTAACAAGGACCAAGGGTTTTACTCTACTGTGTTTAGGATATCCGTTTGGCAGGTTTGTCTTTGGCAGCATTGTCTTAAAGACTCTTTTGTGGATAAAATTGATTGACGTATACTTGTTTTACGTCGATGGTCACTTTGGACACGTGCCAAATACGAGCACGTGCTATGTCAACATCACCATTTTAGTGTATGATAATACGAGAAATCTACAATATTATTCCAATTATATCGCTATGTACTGGAGTATTCAACATAATTTTCATCAGGATGTCTTATGACACTTTCACGTTTCTCCTTAATTTGGTGTTTATGTGGTTACTGTCACAGTAGCAAGTCAATACAAGTAGGCCAATGTCCTCCTACTGAAAAAAAAATATAAGGAAATATACATTGAGATTTTTGTTTGATTTAAATAATTAACTTTCATATACATATTATAAGTAAATTTAATAGTAAGTGAAGTATGCTACATTGCAGTTGCTTCAAATCTTCACCTTTGCCAAATTTTAACATCAAAAGTGGGACTTCCAGAAAGAGAAATTTATCAGTTACTTAAACTGTTAAGAAAAAATCTTGATAAGTATCTGAGGAAATAAAAGCAGAATTATTAAATGACAAATTACAGGAAAAATTTCTAATCGGTAAAGGATAATATTTTAAATGCGCAAATTATATTCTGTTATAGTCTAAGCTTTGTTTTCTATTGAGGTCTAGTTTTAATTAACAGTCAGTGGTGTGATTGAAATCCATCATTTTTAAAAATGATGATTTTCAGTCATTAAATTGATTTTTAATAATGATGGAAATTCATCATTTTTTAGTAAAATGATGAAAAACAGTCATTTCTATTTTGAAATTTATTTTAGAAATAGAGTTATCTCTGATATTAAAAATGACTGTTTTTCATCATTTTTTATCAAATTGTTAGGTCTGGGCGCACTTAATTATCTCATTAGTTTTACGGGGCGCACTAAATTATTTTGGTTTCAATTACTTGTCAAGATGTTTCTCTTCACAAGGGTCTATGGCAGGATAGTGTACTATATCTAATTACTGTAGTAAATGGGATGGGAAAATTGACTTGAGAATGGAAATATGATGAAAAGACGTCATATTTACAAAAATCAGAAAATTGTGTACATTATATACTTAGAAGAAATGACCATTATCCATCATTTTCAAAAATGACTGATTTCAGTACCACCCCTGACTGATTAAATTTTGTGGAGTAGATAATGATGAAAATAACATCCTGCTCTGTTGTCGTTTTTCCTAATTCCTAGTCAGGTAGAAGGAGTGGTTCTAGTGTGTTTCATTATGTTTTTGGATGCTGCATTTAATACAATTTTATCCATTCATGTTTTTGGACTCCCAAGTATAACTATATTAAGCTCTAGGATGACTACAGTTGCATGGTTGATGCATCTTTTATTCTAGGGATACAAAATTGTAGACTAGCTTCAGATGCTGAATTTGACAATAACAGGTTAATCATTTGGAGCAGGTCCACTCCTAAGTAACGCTGTATGGCAATTAAACATGCATTATTGAATCTAGTGATGCAAACTACCAGCTCTGCTTTCCTGGCCCGAGGATCACAAACGGACAAATTTTTGATTGCCTGTAAAATGTTTAATAACTATCATGACTATTGTATGAATCTCTAAATTTGCAGATAACAACACTTTTGTAAATCAATATTTACAAATATTTTAATTTTTGTCAGCTTCACTTAATCAAATTTTTAGTATGACATGAATACATGTATTTTGACTTAAGTTTAGGATGTTTCATGGTCCTGGAGCCTGGATCTAACCTACAATTTCTACCTGAGTGACCATTTTGAAAGTTCAAGAGCAGGTTAATTCCTAAATAATTCTATTGTATGTAGCAGACATGTGATAATTTCCAGACCCAGATACTGTACAGCAGCCTTCAAAATTCTGGAATTTGGGTGAAAATACTGTACATTGCTAATCAAAAAACGGTACAAAATATTGACCAAAAAACAATGTAAGGTGTTTATTTTTTTTTTAATAATAAATTTCAAATCAATGTACAGGTGCACCACTGCATAACATATATTATGATTTATTATTCATTTCAAGAACAGTGTTTAAAAACAGGAACAGTGTTTAAAAACAGTTTATTGTATGAGTCTGTTCGTTTCCATTCAGCTGCAATTTTTAAATTGTACTAAAAAAAACATTTCTCTTAATCTGTGTTTAAAAAGACAATACGTATGCCTAATCAAATATTGGACTAAATTTCGTTTTGCTGTCACAAAGTGTCTCCAATTCTTGTGAATGGTGTTTCCTCTTTGAAATGTCTTTAGTTTTAATAAATTACAATTTAAAAATTCCTTGATAAAGGTCCTATTAAAAAGCAATCAGCCAAACAAAACGCTTTGATATCCTCTAATTACGATGTAATTATCACGGGAATATTTCACACCTTCGTTCATGATGTTCTGTTTACATTAATCAAGCGCAGTAAATCACGCATAGTTTGAGATTTCTGGCGTTGTGAGAGCGGAAATGAAAGAAAAATGGCGATTTTCGGTAAACATTTCAAAATACGGTACACATTTTCATTTCCCGTGAATTTTGGTGTACTGCCGGGACACATTGATGGGGGTCGAAAATACGGGACATTTCCTGTACAGCCAGTACATATCACATGTATGTATGTAGGGATGTACATATTATCTCAGCATGTTACTAGTTCAGGAGAAGATACTTTTGATTTGGCATCTGATAACCCCCATCGTCTATAGTATTTTATGAATTTCTTGTCACTTGAACTTTCTAGTGGAAATGAATTGCTTTTTTTAAAAAAAAGAAATACAGGTTTGACATTTAAGGATGTCATCAACGATTGGTCATCATCTGCAATGAAACTTGTATTTGAAATATTGTTTATTTTTCTTCTTTAGAGGTCAGTGTTTTATTTTGTAAAATTACGGCAAAAATCAAGACAGGTTTAAATTGACCGTTTCACGGTAACTGCGGTACTGCTCTTTTGCAGGGCAAAATGATATATTTTCAATTGGTGAAATATGACGTAAAAGTAATTGTTAAATATTACATTATTTAATTGTCTCTCAACAAAAACTTCGCCAAAAGTTATTATTTTGCCCTGCAAAAAAGTAGTACCACAGTGACCGTGAAGAGGCTAATTGAAGAATCACCAATCGATACATTTTTAAAAAAAATGATTAAAAGAAATATGAAATACTCTAGTCTTTGTTTTTCCGAAAAGCAATCTAAGCACATTAAATTAATTAGAAGTCAAATCATGATGATTTCATAAAAAAATTCAATGTTATTTAACGAACACTAAGCATACTGATTAATTTAAAAATGGATTATACAAATTCTTCTGACTTCAGTACCTCATGCAGATATGGTATACTTGAGAATAACTTGTTTACAATCTATTTCATGCATAAAAAATATGTTCTGACCAGATTTAAACTATATTTCGTTGACAAATAAATGGCCGATATGGCAAGGTTCGGAGGATTTTAAAGAGCAAAGGGGCATTAAACTTTGAAGGCTCTTACTTTTACCACATTTGGAATGCGCATTACATGGTATTGTACCTAAATTCATTTGTTTTAAGACTTTGATCTCAAATTTATAAAGATAAGTAACATTTGTCAAAGTGAGCTTGTAATTTTTAGCTCACCTCGACGAAGTCGAGATGAGCTTATGCTATACCCCTGGCGTTGGCGTCCCAGGTTAAAGTTTTAGGAGCAAGTCCATTCCCAAGTAACTATAAGCCCTACCTGAACCAAACTTGCATGGATGATGCATATAGGGATGGACACTACCAGACTTGCTTCAGATGCTGGATCTGACCTACATTTTCCAGATGAGTAACCAGGTTAAAGTTTTTGGAGCAGGTCCATTCCCAAGACAAGATGAGTGACTAGGTTAAAGTTTTTGGAGCAGGTCCATTCCTAAGTAACAATAAGCCCTACCTGGACCAAACTTGCATGGATGATGCATCTACGGATGGACACTACCAGACTTGCTTCGGATGCTGGATCTGACCTACATTTTCATTCCAAGTAACTATAATACCTTCCTGAACCAAACTTGCATGGATGATGCATCTAGGGATGGACACTACCAGACTTGCTTCGGATGCTGGATCTGACCTACATTTTCATTCCAAGTAACTATAATACCTTCCTGAACCAAACTTGTATGGATGATGCATCTAGGGATGGACACTACCAGACTAGCTTCCTGAACCAAACTTGCATGGATGATGCATCTAGGGATGGACACTACCAGACTTGCTTCGGATGCTGGATCTGACCTACATTTTCATTCCAAGTAACTATAATACCTACCTGAACCAAACTTGTATGGATGATGCATCTAGGGATGGACACTACCACTCAGCTGACTTGCTTCGGATGCTGAATCTGACCTATATTTTCCAAACAAGAGACCAGCTGGTTATAGTTTTTAACAGATTAATCCCGATGAACTTGAAGTACTTGATATCTGCAGTATTAACAAAGTTATGAATATTTGTTTACACTATACATGTTTTTCACGCTACAAGCGTAGAAATGTGTATATGCCCTGTAAGGGGTTAAACACAACTTGCAAGAATATTGTTTTTGGGATAAATACTAGATATTAAGAAAATGTGATGTGAGATTTGCATTACTTACACTGATAAGATTCGTCGAGGTGAGCTTCGTAATCTTTGATTACCTATGTGTTATATTAATCGTACATATTATATACCTATAGATTTCTAGTACACCAGTTAGCACACACCTGACAGTAAATCTGACAGATTTGTTTATGTCAATTCTGATAAATCTGGTACATATAAAGAGCCTTGCTTGAAACTAAGGGAGTAAATTTATAATGAACATGATGAAGAAACTAAGAAAGTATATACATGTACATGATATAACTACCTAGAATGGAAGAAATTGTCATATCCATAATTTAGATGTGATACAAGTGGATGTTTGACACAGGCCACTAAGGTCAGAGGTAACCACAAGGTCAAAGGTCATCTGAGTTGAGTGACCTGTGTAGATTTGTGATGTGTCTGTCCCCATTAACATAGGGGTATGATGCTCACTACTGTCTCAGTCTTGTTCTATTACAATCAAAGTGCAAGTTTAATGATTGACATCAAATTGACCAACATTTTTTATTCAAGTACAAAGTACAAATGACAACAAATTATTTTATCCTCATTTTTTTTTTTTTTTAATGTTTGCTGTCGACTTGTACTGAATCATCCCACTTCTAGTTATTTTAATAATATCCGTTCCAAGTTTTTATTTCCTTTCAGTGTAGATCTTGTTTAGAGTCTGATTGAGTCTTATAAAGGGACATTAAAGCTGTCTAATCCCCCGCACACTTTCTTCTTCCTTGTGGCTTTTGAAATGACGACATGTTGAAAAAGTTGATCACCTGATTAAGAATGCAATATTATCATTGACAAGGATATTTTTGGACAAGTAAAGGGAGAATGTTTAATATAGTCATTGAAAAAAAAAATCGTCAAAAAACCGAATCAATGGATTCAGAATAAAAAAGCTGAATGGTTCAGGGTTAGAATATTGACACAGCACTGTAGCACAAAGATTATAATGTCATTTTTACAAAGATATTTCTTCTCTCATTTTCCCATACAGTTATGAACAGAGGAATATATTATGTAGAACACATTTCATCTCTACAGGCTTTGTCATGTTACAAGTCAGCATTGTTTTAGTGAGTTACAAATGCCAAATGTAACCATGATGAGGACCATTGATCTCCATATGATAATATAATGCACAAAACACGGCCTGAAGTGTAGAAATGTGTTGACCATGTTTACATAGGACAGCTGAGACAGAAATTTATAGATATTTATACCCAGATCTATCCCTATTGACCTTGAAACCAGAAATCAATAGTGAATTCTGCCATACCTTTATAATTAAGCTATATCTGTTTGATTTATAGGGAAGCTATTCTGTGATGTAATCTTGTATCATAATAAGATAATGTGTTAATTCATTCTTCTGTAGGAAATGTCAAAATATCTTGGCTTTCAAACCTCTGTCAATAAGTTGTATTTATTATACATAATATTTAAAGGTACAATGTTATTTTATTTATTACCTAGTTAAAAAGCTGTGAACTCGGTATTTCTCTGTGTATTATATAACAGCTATATTTGTATATAATGTAGTAATGTTTGCCAGCTTTGTGATTGTTGTTAGGTTTATGTTTTGAATGCTGGTCAGCTCCCATGTGACCTAGTTTTTGGGTCAGCTTCAGAACTCTAGCTGTTAGTAAGGAACTGCCTGTGTACACACTGATTAGCTGCAGTAGTAATTAACTCCTGTCAAGACTGGCGGTGATTTCTGTTTTATTTTTTATCTGGACTTTTCATTTCTTACCTGGATAAAATTAAAGTGTGCTGAAAGAGTGTTTTTTATGTCATTGTAGCTATAAATAGATTTAACCGACCGATAAGATGAGCAGTAAGGATTACTACCCAATGGAGACCAAAGGAAGTCCAAAGAGCTACAGCCCCCACAAAAACGGAAGTCTTAGTAAGTATAACGCTCTCCTTGTATATAGTACAATATTGTCTGTAGTAACATGTATTAATTCATTAGTAAATCTTAGTAAGTATGTACTTATTGACTATATCTACAATGTCTGTAGTATTAAACCTGTATCAACGTATTAGTAAATCTTAGTAAGTACACAGATACTAACAATATATAGCACAGTGTCTGTTAATACTCTTGTAACATATATATATATATATATATGTATATATGAATTAATAAGTACATCGTACTATGTACAAACTTATTCACTGTAAAGTACATCTGTCTCTAGTATACACATCATGTAAACTGTACATCAATTGTCAAGCACTGGTACATGCTTGTCACATCTGTATACGGTACATATCAATTTGTGACACAAACTGATGGTAGATGCAGACAAAACTTAAATTACAAATAAAAATGAATAAAAATCCTATATCTCATTCTGCAAAATGTTAATTTCAAAATAAAGTTTATACAGCATAACAATCTTATTCATAAAACCTTTAATAATGTCTTAATTAACAAATTAAGAAACACACATGTACATCATATTTTGATATACAGGTACAATTTGTATCAGAACAGGCTGAAATTTTGAGAAGTCTATTAACTGAAAGAAAAAAAAATCCAACAAATAACATTCATGAACTTTTGAATACTTGAATTAATTAACTTAAAGGCCTTTTCCTCAAGGAGAAATGCTGCCAGCGATAAAAAGCTATTTCATGGTTTCTTGCAAATGTAAAAGGATACAGCTACCCATCCGGAAAAGAAGGGCAAACAAACTACTATAACAAATTACTAACAAACCACTATGGTTTGAAAGTAGTTTAATAGTATAGCAAATCACATGCAAATGAGCTAACAAACTATACTCTAACAAACTACTATCAAACCACACTTAACAAACTACTATCAAACCACTCTAACAAACTACTATCAAACCACTCTAACAAACTACTATCAAACCATTCTAACAAACTACTATCAAACCACTCTAACAAACTACTATCAAACCACTCTAACAAACTACGAACAAATCACTGGGAACAAATCCATCACCAAAACACTGTAGATTTGAATTTTCCTTTACAAATCCACAAGTCTTAATTGAAAACACCTAAAACAATCACATTTTGAAATATTCAACAAGTCTTGTTTCAGGGTATTTAAATTCCAGGATTCACAAGTTTAGCCAATGCAAGTGCAACATCCAACATGTTTCCTTTTGTTTAGGAGATGCAATTCCAAGTCAATGTCCATGTACTTATCACATATTCTCCTTCATGTTGTGTACATCTTCATAGTATTTTTCACCAAAAAATGTTCTTCAAGCTGATGATTGACATTTAAATATTTCCCTGCTTCCTCTGGCATGGAAAAAACTGCAATTTTTCCTTGTTTCTGACCTCATTGCAACTTTGAAAGACATCTTTATTGTCTTATTTTCAAGTATACTTCCCATAATCCAATGCATAACTGATCTAAACTAGGATAGGAATTATAGGTCAATCTGAAAATGAATAAAAATCCAAAGCTAGTAAAAAGCATATGCATCCACATTCACAGAAGGTTAATTACTTCATGACATGCATTAAATACCTCTTCTGTATCCAGATCCATCTTTTAATAATGTTAATTGCTGCTTTTTCCAGTCAGGGATCATACATATAAAATGATACTATAACAATTTGAATGTCCCTTCACCAGTTCCTTAATTTGTTTCTGACCTGCTTGGTGGTTTGAAAATTGGCGCAAATAGCTATAACACCGGATGTAAAGAGATAAGCTGTTCTTGGAAACTTCAACAATTCTAGATAATTCAACCCTAAACACATCTGTAAAGTAATTTCCCATGTGGTTAGATGCAAATGCTATACTAATAAAACACTGTTGCAAGATAGCAAGTCTAACAAACTATAAAGAAATCACAATCACCAGAAGTGAAAGACTAACAAACCACTGCAGCTATTTTTAGAAAAAGTGGTTTGTTAGTGGTTCATTAAATGCTATACTATCAAACTACTTTAACAAACCACAAAAGTATAGTTTGTTGGTAGTTTGTTGATGGTTTGATAGTAGTTTGTTAAAAATCTTTTCCGTTTGGGTAACTTGTGGTAAAAAGAAACATGCTTAATGGAAAACACATTTGTTATCAAATTACCTGTGGAGTGACCTTTGACCTTTTCTCACCAGAGCTGTCAGGCTAATTATGACCAGATATTTACTAACAAGAAATAATTTACATCATGTACATGAGTTATGAATGTGCATTTTTGTATTTTGATTAAGGGTAAACCTGTATTTAAACTATATGTAAGAAATAAATTGTTACAGTTAGCAATTGTACATGTTGTAAGAGGCAGGAAATATATAATTTTCCCTATAGAAACTTTTATTGTTTTGAAGACTTCAACACATGGATGCAAGCATTTACAGGGTAGGGGTGGGGGTGGGGGGTCATCATTATTATGTAAATAATTGTAAGCAATTGTACAGGAAATAATTTTTTCCTGTAAAGATCTGTTAATATTTTGAAGACTTAATTCCACATCATACAAGTAATTACAGGGAATGGTGATGTGGCCTCATCATTATTTAAATGACATTTCTTAATTAAAAACACTGATGAGCTCTTATCTGTGGAAATAATTGAACAATTTTTTTCCCTTGCCCAGTCCTTTTCTCTGTTAAATCTTATTAATATAAAATATGAATATCCTAGTAGTCATAATTTTCACATTGGCTCTGGTTTAACCTGGAACATTAAACCTGCTGCTGTCAGATGTACTTGTCTGTTATTATACTATAGACATGCTAGGTGTGAGCCAAATGTGGAGTGTCCTGAAAATAGACTCTCAGTCACTGGGTTTATATCATATTATAAACAGATTTTAATAATGATCATTATTAAAATCTGTTTATATGATTATAGATACTTTGAGTATAGATATTGTAACAGTTTGGTTAATAATTGTGGAAAGCAATGCCATAATTAACTTAGTGTTACCATTTTTGTTGCAGGGATATTATCTTTATATCAGATGTTAATGGAATAACAACCAACCCCAGGTGTTGAGTTCATATTGAAGTTTAGTTCTGATGAACGAATTGGCAGATTGAATGAATAAATGGCCTTATAAAATAAGAAAATAAACATGAAGTAGTCATCTTCAGTGAATTGGTATTGATAATAAATTGTATACAATATAATGAATATATTTTATAGATCAATGTACCAAAAATAAGTGTAACTATAAAACATCAAAAGACATATCTCCCTTAATTCAAATATTTAGCATGTATAAATTAATAAATCACATACTGTACAATTAATCTTTCTTAACACAATTATTAATTACAGAAGCATTGCTACTGGTGTAACGATATATAATTAAAAACTTAAAATATACAAAAGGTAACATTAAAAGTAGCTCTCTAAAGAGACAAACCAAATTACTTGAAACATCAAAATGAATAGCCTGGATGCTTCATGCAGGTCTACATATGTAAATATATTATATGAAATACTATTAACTGACTGTGCAAGCTAAAGTACATGTACTCATACAGGGATATGAGATATGGCATATTTACTACCGATATTCGGTATTTTTCCCCAAGGGAATATTTCCCCTAGATATCCCATTTTCCCCCTTTGATGATTAAAAAATTCCCATGGCAATGATAAAAAGCTCAAATATTTTTTTTCCTTTGTAAAAAATGGAAATTTAAAGTAAAAAGGTTCAGAAGATGTGAGATATGGCTTTACTTTGCTATTTTATGCACTTTAAATGATCATTAAAATGAGGAAATCCAGTTGGGACCACAAATTATGCCTGCCCTGCACAAGCTAGTTGGGACCACAAATTGTGCCTGCCCTGCACAAGCTAATACATGGCTTAGGGGTCTTGAGTGGCCCCCAGCTGATTTTCCCAATTTCTCCAGAAAGGGTAGTTTCCCCCAAAACCTAGATTAATCCCTGTCATAATTGACACAAATAAGTACATACATGTACTAAAACATGCTGGCACATTAAAAAAAAACTGATTTAGCAACATATATATTAATTAGTGTAACAATTCGACATATCAAGGTTCATCATTACTCTGATAAGAGAGATAACTCTTAATGACATAAATGTTAATCATTATTCCTTTATAAATTTTGTCAGGTGAAGTGTCTTTTTCGTCCAGTTTTGATCCTCAAGCTATGTTATAATTGTTTGTATTGTACTTATAATAATAAAATACATTTCTTTTGGAAAATCATTAAGGTTCAGGCAACATTTTATATGAGTTAGCAGAGGGTTTATGAACCTTAATTTGTAACTATTGGCCCATTCATTATTATTGTCTGATTTGTTTGCATGGTTTTATTTTGTCTGATTTAATTGTAGTGGACAAGAATTCCTCTGAACAGACAGAGAAGTTCCTTCCTGTTATAGAACCAGGCTTGGACTCCCTCAACAAGAACCCAGAGGATGTGGATTTTATCCCCGTGGACCACACCCCACCGGACAGGTCAAGTATCAGATGGGGGAAGTTTACGGATTTAATTTACTCTATCAACTTACTTTGTCTACCCGTCTGTAGTTCACATCCCACCGGACAGGTCAAGTATCAGAGGAGGGGGCTGGGGAGATTTTCCATATATTTGATTGACTCCATTAACTCACCCTGTCTGTTTGATGACATTTCATCCTGGTTGATCAGATTCCATCAGTCAGGTAATGAGGTAGTCATGTCTGAAAAATCCTAAAACTATTCATGGACAAGTTGCTGTCAGGCAAAAAATATAATCTGTGATATATATTGTTTTTGGTGTGTCTGACATGTCACTAAACCCAAGGAGACTCCTTATCAGGTCTCCACAATACTTATATTTCATTACAGACTTATTGTACCTAAACATTAGACTACACGTTATGTCATTTTTTTATCCTGTTTGATTCATGATCACCATTTAGATGACAATTATTATGTGTGTTGCAGGTACCGTATTGTATTCTTCATCATGGTCGTTCATGGAATTGGAATTCTGATGCCCTGGAACATGCTGATTAATGCTAAACAGGTAAGCTCTATCACCGGGAAACAGTGAAACTTTTAAAAAGAGTCAGATATGTGGTTCAACAAAAATATATGTACATAAAATGTAAAAATCTAGAATTAGGGGAGCTATTGTTTTTTACTTTGAGGAGCTATGTTTTTCTGATTTCAGTACTTTGAGGAGCTATTTATTTTCTGTTTTCAGTACTTTGAGGAGCTATGGTTTTCTGATTTCAGTACTTTGATGAACTATGTTTTTCTGATTTCAGTACTTTGAGGAGCTATGTTTTTCTGTTTTCAGTACTTTTAGAAGCTATGTTTTTCTGATTTCAGTAATTTGAGGAGCTATATTTTCTGGGGTTTTTTTTACTTTGAGGAGCTATTTATTTTCTGTTTTCAGTACTTTGAGGAGCTATGGCTTTCTGATTTCAGTACTTTGATGAGCTATGTTTTTCTGATTTCAGTACTTTGAGGAGCTATGTTTTTCTGTTTTTAGTACTTTAAGAAGCTATGCTTTTCTGATTTCAGTAATTTGAGGAGCTATATTTTCTGGGTTTTTTTTTTACTTTGAGGAGCTATTTATTTTCTGTTTTCAGTACTTTGAGGAGCTATTTATTTTCTGTTTTCAGTACTTTGAGGAGCTATTTTTTTTCTGTTTTCAGTACTTTGAGGAGCTATGTTTTTCTGATTTCAGTACTTTGAGGAGCTATGTTTTTCTGTTTTTAGTACATTTAGAAGCTATGTTTTTCTGATTTCAGTAATTTGAGGAGCTATGTTTTTCTGTTTTTAGTACTTTAAGAAGCTATGCTTTTCTGATTTCAGTAATTTGAGGAGCTATATTTTTCTGATATTTTTGAGGGGCTTTTTTTTTTCAGTAATTTGAGGAGCTATTTATTTTCTGTTTTTTTTACTTTGAGGAGCTATTTATTTTCTGTTTTCAGTACTTTGAGGAGCTATTTTTTTTCTGTTTTCAGTACTTTGATGAGCTATGTTTTTCTGATTTCAGTACTTTGAGGAGCTATGTTTTTCTGTTTTTAGTACATTTAGAAGCTATGTTTTTCTGATTTCAGTAATTTGAGGAGCTATCTTTTCTGATTTTTTTATTTTGAGGGGCTATGTTTATTGATTTCAGTAATTTGAGGAGCTATATTTTCTGGTTTTTTTTTACTTTGAGGAGCTATTTATTTTCTGTTTTCAGTACTTTGAGGAGCTATGGTTTTCTGATTTCAGTACTTTGAGGAGCTATGTTTTTCTGATTTCAGTACTTTGAGGAGCTATGTTTTTCTGTTTTCAGTACTTTTAGAAGCTATGTTTTTCTGATTTCAGTAATTTGAGGAGCTATATTTTTCTGGGTTTTTTTTTTTTCTGATTTCAGTAATTTGAGGAGCTATATTTTCTGGGGTTTTTTTTACTTTGAGGAGTTATTTATTTTCTGTTTTCAGTACTTTGAGGAGCTATGGTTTTCTGATTTCAGTACTTTGATGAGCGATGTTTTTCTGTTTTTAGTACTTTTAGAAGCTATGTTTTTCTGATTTCAGTAATTTGAGGAGCTCTCTTTTTCTGATTTCAGTATTTTGAGGGGCTATGTTTATTGATTTCAGTAATTTGAGGAGCTATATTTTCTGGGGTTTTTTTTTACTTTGAGGAGCTATGTTTTTTTGTTTTCAGTACTTTGAGGAGCTATTTTTTTCTGTTTTCAGTACTTTGATGAGCTATGTTTTTCTGTTTTCAGTACTTTGAGGAGCTATGTTTTTCTATTCTAAGTACTTTGAGGAGCTATTTTTAGGTCACCTGTTTTCAGTACTTTGAGGAGTGCGTCAACATTTGAACATTTTCAGTTCTTCTCTGCAACCACTGAACCAATTTCAACCAAATTTGGCACAAAGCATCTATGGGTGAAGGGGAACAAAAATTGTGAATTTCATGTTTTAGGGGTGGGGCCAAAACCACTAAAATATGCAATCTTTAAAAATCTTCTTCTTTACTCCTGGACAACAAGCAGTCAAACTGTTTGCATGATTGTAATCAGCATTGAGTCCTCTACCAAAACAAATTCATGGCCCTGGGGTCAATGCTAGGGCGGGGCTAAATAAGTATATAGTGAAAATGCATTATTTCTTAAAATCTTCTTCTCTGCTCCTGGGACCAAAAGTACATAGTTATGATGAGCAAGATTGCTGACAAAAATTGTGAAATGGGGGTCAGGGGTTCAAAGTGTTAGGGTGGGGCTCTATTGATTATATATAGTGAAAAAACATGATTTCTTTGAAAATCTTCTCACACCTTTGTATTAAATAAACTAACCCCCCCAAGTTATATCCTGTTTTACATATTGTGAATTTTATAGCCCCAGGGTGTTCTGGTGTTAGATTATGTAGTGAAAATACATGAATTCTTTGAAAATCTTCTTCTCTGCTCCTAGGTATCAAATAAACTAACAAAGTGCATAATTATTATGAGCAAGAGTGCCTCTACCAAAATTATGAATTTTATGGCCCCAGGGTCAAGGGTTCTAAGTGGTGGTGGGGGTAACATTTTACATTATATAGTGAAAATGCATGAATTCTGTGTGTCCTCTGCTCCTAGGTATTAAATAAACTAACTAAGTACATTGTTATGATGATGCCCCCAAAATTGAGAATTTTATGGCCCCAGGGTATTCTCTCTTAGGGTGGGGCTATCTTATATATAGTGAAAATACATGTTTCTTTGAAAATTTCTTCTCTGCCCCTTTGTATTAAATAAACTTAAGTGCATAGTTATGATGAGCAAGAGTGCTTTTACCCAAATTGTGAATTTTTAGCCCCAGGGTCAATTTTGTTGGGGGGGGGGCTCTAATTATGTAGTGAAAATACATGAATTCTTTGAAAATCTTCTTCTCTGCTCCTAGGTATCAAATAAACTAACTAAGTGCATAGTTATGATAAGCAAGAGTGCCTCAACCAAAATTATGAAATGGCAAAGCAGTTCTGGTGTATTCGCAAAATGCATGAATTCTTGAAAATCTTCTTCTCTGCTCCTAGGTATTAAAAATCTAACTAAGTACATAGTTATGATGAGCAAGAATGCCTTTCAAAATTATGAATTTTATGGCCCCAGGGTAAAAATTTGTTAGGGCGAGGCGCTATTGATTATATAGTGAAAATGCATTAAATCTTTGAAAATTTTCTTCTCTGTCTCTGGGTATGAAGCAGACAAAATAGTTATGATTTCACTTTGTGATCACAATTAGTCCTGTATATACTGAAAATGAATTAATTGTTTGAAATCTGCTCAATTTATATAACATTTATTTTTTTTCTTTTTGGGATAGGCAATTTTAAGGGTGCCTTTAAAAAAATTGTGCAATATGTCACCTAGGGTCAGGGGTTTATGTCATGTTAGGGGCATTCTCCATCATTGCTATATTATGATTAGTTGAAATGCAATTCATCACCACGGTATGATTCCTAAGCAACTGCTAAGTGTATTGTTATGATGATCTCCTCTTTCAAAATTGTGAATGCCATATAGCATCTGTTAAAACATAAATCAAATTAATAACTGGAAAGTTGTTGCAGCTCATGACCTTAAGGCCCATTTTTTGTTTTGTTTTCAAGATTGAAAGCCATAAGAAAGCCATAAGAAAGTAATTGCTTCTTCAGCAAATTTGTTATGAGTGTTATAAAGACAATTTTTTAAAAAACTTAAATTTATTTAAATTTTCTCTGCATTGAAATAACTTTGAAAGGGGGGAGCAACAAAGTGATTTGAGGCCAATCTTGTTAAGGGGACACCTCACACCTCACCCCCCCCCCCCCCCCCCCCCCCCCAGTCCCCCCTTACTATTGAAATATCCTGTTTTCATGGGTTCGAATTTTTGTAGCTTGTGGAAAAAAAAAACCTCTTTGTTCATGTAGGGTCTGTGGATGAATAATTGTATCATTTTACATTTGGTAGTGGACATGAATTTGTGTCCCTTCATACCATGAAAACAACAAAATTTAAATCCCCATGAAAATTTGTGATTTCACAGTATATTCTCTCTTGCTATCTTCAAGGTGTATGTTTCGCATTTCTCCTACTTTGTCCTTACAATCTATCTGACTTTCACTTTGTCATCACAATTAGTCCTGTTTTAATCCTTAAGCAGACAAAATCTATCTGACTTTCACTTTCCAGACAAGCGTCACCCCGGAGGATCATCATCTCCATCAGTATAATGATTATTGTCTTCATCACCACGGTGATCCTAGCAATGGTGGACTCCTCAGACTGTAAGCTTGTTACTTGGATTATATATTTTTGTTGACAATATTACTGATAGATTTTCACATTAATTTGTTTATTTTAACATTTGCTGTTGTTAGCAGATAAGAAATAATGGCAAATTGTTATATGAAAATGGCCGCGAAGATGTCGATGGGGCACCACTTCCAAGTTCCATTTTCGACAGAAAGATATGGCACAGAGGATAAATAAAGTTACTAAAAGGCAACACCAATCAACCACGTAATTCATTTGGATTGGCAGCCATTCTTTCCTTATTTCTTTTTAATATTGAGATCGTTATGACAAATGTGGTTAGGTCGTTTGATCCTATTGGTGAACAAAAATTTAAAATCACAGGGAGATCTTACCGTTTCTATTGTGGCCAAAAGACTTTGTAAGCAAATCACCAATATTTTTATGTTTAGAATGATAATTTATATGAATTAAATATTGGGTTTGCAAGGATTTGTTGCCCATGTTTCATCTTTTAAAACCAATGACCAGTATCTTTATTAATTTGGATTTCCAAATTTCTTGTTTTTGTAATTAGAACATTAGGTATTTTCTTTGTTTTCTTGGCTTTACATACCATTTTATCTTAATAAACCTTATAAAACATGTATAAGTATAAAACATTATTTATCAAAGTATGTCTTATGATTATGATGATCAAAGATTACTGATTTTATACAAAAAAATAAAAAAAGATCTATTTCTTCTGGTTATGAAAATCGAGGTTTTTGATGGTGGATAAAATTTTCTGATTGGCCTTAA